AACTACTGAGTTATTACAGAGAAGAGGCAAAAATATGGGAAATAAACTGAGATTAAATGTAACCAAATGACCTCTGTTCCTGGTTGGGTCCACATCAAATCTGCATTAATTCTGTTTTCTCTGCCTGTTCCTTACCAGCTAGGAGCAATGCGGCAATCTAAGTGAGCTGTCGGGGTGAAAAGAGCTACATGGGCCCCGTGTTTCCTCTGGCTTCTGTTCCAGGGCTCCCATAGCTGACAGCAGCATCTCTCTTTTCCACCAGACTTTTTTTTTACCACTCCTCAAGAGGAATGTTCAGCTGAACATCCAGCCCCCCTTAGCGATTCTGAAAAAGTGTCATTGACTTTTGGTATGAATCCAGAAATGTTTTCTTGGCCATGGAATAGTGATATACTATGATTTTCATGTGTATTTGTTCTGGGCTAGATCTGAAAAAAGGTTCTGTTAGCTTTGTTCAGGTGCCATTGCCACCTGATCCCAATCTGCAGGGTTTTGATGTGTAGTTCATGGACTTCCAGCCTCCACCTTCAGTTCAGCTTGTAAGTTCAGCTTGTAAGCCTCCACCTTCATCTTACATGAACAACGAAGGTATTAATGCCCAGAAACACTGGAGAGAATTATTCAGCAGGCTGGGGCTGAACAACACAAGGGGTGCATCTCCTGTCTGCGAAGCCTTTCTTGTCCACACGGGGTGCGATGCTGGAATAACAAGGCAATTGCTGGAGGTCTCCTATTGCAAAAGCAAGGAAAGCAGACAGTTCCAGATTGAAAGAGTCTCTTACTCACCTCTCAATGTCTCCCGTAAGGCATCTCAGTATTCAGGCAGGACCCACCTAGGCCACCTGGAAAGAATTCCACAGATTTTAATGGTCTTTTGACTGAACCCCTCGACTCACATGTTTCCGAGCACTTTCTGCCTTGATCAAGGTCCTTCCCCTCCTTGTGCAGCAGGAATTTGCCCCTTTTCAATGCTACTTTCATAAATGCTGTAATGTGCCTTCCAGGGACTGAGTTTTCTGTTGTCTGTTTGCATTTCTAGGGAAAGACGTCCTCCTTGAAAGCTCCCAGCAATTCCTCACTGACCGGCAGTCAGTCTTTGGAAACGACATCATCAGCTTACATGAAAGTTCATCACTGTATATTCCATCTGAAAACATGGCTTCCTATCTGTCCTCCGGGGGTGTCCGAGGGGATATCCCCTTAAACCTGAGCTCTTCGACTGATAACAACCAGTGATGTCACTTCCAAGGCATCATCTCCCTCCCACACACCCAAGCATCCACAGGTTTGAATGTAAAAAAACAAAAGCAACTCAGAAACCTACAAGGGAGTTGTCGTGCCCCTTCTTTTTGAGTAGATTGGAAAGGTCAGTAGCTGTTGCACTGCACGCCCTGTCCCTGGCTCTCAGTGTTTCATAGGCTCAGTGGCTCTCAGGATCATAGTCTTAGAACAAAATGCTGCTTCTGGTGCTTGTTCCTACGTGGAGCAGGAATGTGGTGGGAGCTGTTTTTCTTCAAAATGCTTTTACAGGTGTCAAACTTTTTAAGAAAATTGAAGTGAAAAGTAGCTTGGAAGTTCATCAGGGACCTCACAGAACAAAGCAATCCCAAGTGGTGTCTGCTGCAACAAACTGTGGGATGTTAATAGGGCAGCGCAGGTCAGCAAAGAGATGCATGACCCTTCTGAATGCCATTGTTTCAATACAAGATTAGTTTTAAGTGCCAGACAAATGCTCTAGAAATACTCTTTTATTATCTATTCTCTGTTTTTGATGGGATGTGTTTGTGCCTCTCCCCTGTCTTCCCAGAGTAAGCAGGAACATGAAACTCCCTCAGGGTGTGCTGAAGATAGTTTCCTGAGTGATCCCTCCAAGGAGGTGCTTTTGGCTCCAAGGGGAGCTGCAGGCATCATACACCCCACAACATCCCATCCTGAGTTGAAAGGGTTGTTGGTTATTTTTTCCCCAGTTTATCTTCTGCAATGTAGAGGCAGGGCACCCCATGCTTTAATTCTTGTAATAAAGGATGGAGTCTTCTGCACCCACAGTTTTTTATTTCCAAAGAGGACTGGTTTATTCTTGGTTTTTGTGCTGGAGAAATATTTCGTGTCCAGTCCAGTGGTGTTTCTCCTCGGCCTTGACCTTCTCTGTAACCCCTGGAGATGTGCCTGTAGGTTTGTTGATGTATGAAATCTCATGAACTGGTTTAATTGATTTGAGCCCCTTTTTAGAAGGGCTCTCAGCTTCAGGTACTTCCTCAGTGTCCAACAGACGCAGAAGAGTTACTCCACCGTGTCCCAGACTTTTCTTCTGCATTTTGTGCATCTGAAACCAGCTTCTACAGGCCCATTTAATCTTCCTCTTTCATGTGGTTTCTGACAACTGAGTTTCTCAACAAAGCAGAGCTTTGTTTTTTATTCTGTAGTTCTAATGAGAATGTATTATTTATCACAGTATCCTCTAATTGAGTTGTTTTTCCTTAAGAAAGCTACCCAAAAGCAGTGGGACAGACACAGGAAATTCACCTAACTCAGGCCTTCCAAGGGCTCAGGCAGGGATGTGTAAGCCACGCCAACTCCATTGGAAGAACTGCTCTGCAAACTTTCACTACCGTGTTGATTCTTGGTACTAAATCGTATTCCTGAGCGTCTAGAATGGCCAAGCAGCATCCACCTAAACATATGGTTGATCAGATGAACGTAGGCTCAAAATGTCCTAAATAAGATGTGCGTATTTTAAATGGACTTTCCTGTCACAGCTCTTTGCTCCATCCATTTATCACCGTGTGAGCAGATGGGAACAATTCAGACGCTCATTTTTGCCAGCTGGCTGCTATGAGGGGCGATCATCACCCTGGAGGCACTCTTGGCAGCGTGATGTTGTGAGAACTTTTGAATTAATTCCATCCACTGTTTGTCTGTTCAGGACTAAGGGAAAAACCTGGCAGCCCCCACTGGCCTGGTATTTAGATGGTGTTCTTGAGAATAGCGTGAACAGTGTTTCTTTTTTGGCAGATTTGTGCTCAGAGAGTTCATCTAGATCAGGCCCACTTGGCTCTGTACTTTGTCACTTGAACCAGAGGAGATCTGTTGTGCTGCAGTCCGGTTGCTTCCTTTCTCATGGGAAGCTGTGTGCTGTCTCTCCTCACCTGACAGGGTATGTTATCCTCATTCAGGATTTATGTCTTTCTTTGAACCTTCAGATGCTCAATTCCTTCATGTTAGCACTGAATGTATACGGGTTCAGTAAGGTGTCTAAGCACGTGCATAACTTCAAACTTCTGAGCAGCTTTCATTTATTTTTATGAAGTCTGTCACATGCCTAAAGTTGGACACGTGCTTGGATGCCTTACTGCAGTGTCCATTTGTGGTTGAAACACAAACCACCTCAGGAGAACTACTTGCAAGGAGGGGCAGCCCGAGCTGCGAGGGGCCTGGCCTCACCTTACACTGCAGCACTTCTCTGCAGTACACAGACTGCAAGCACTGTGAGCAGCTGCTCCTGAGTGGTTCCTGGGATTTTCTTTAGGCTTTTTGCTCTACTGTCAACATGAGCTTGGATCCTGATGGAGAGAGGGTAACGTCCAGGAAAGCGTTGAGAGCCACTCCTGAAGAAGCAGGCTGCCGTTCCTTGGCTTTTTACATTGTTAATTTACTTGAAGATGACGTGCTGAGACTGCGCGTGTTTGGTGGGTTTTTTTGCACTATGCTGCACATTTGTAAAGTTTTACAGAAAACAATAATTAAATATGCTTCTTTTTTTCTCATTTAGTCTCATGCTGGCATTTACTCACATTTTCCCCCTTTCTCCTTACTCATCTTCCCCTTCCCATCAGAGGGGACTGGTAAGTGACGATAACATTCTGAAATTTAACATTCACTTGTGAGATGATGCACTGGCTGACCCACTGATGGACTGTGATCATCTGTGTTAAAACTGATATTCAGCTTTGTGAAGAGAAGACTCCTGTAAGGCTGCTCTAAGTCAGGCCTGCTCTCCGCAGGCACTTGCTCACCCCTCGCTCCTCCTGAAGACCAAGGATTTTCACAGTGTGTCTTTACTGGTGACAAGTGGAAAACGGCCGAAGTTAAAGTAACTGTGCCATCATCTTCCTTCAGGCTTTGGCCATGGTTGTGCTTTGTGGTTAGCAGCAGTATTCTCACCACCAGATGGCACCTAAACCTTAACTGCTAATTGCAAGTACAGCTTTTCAACAAAAGCGTAGTAACTTTTCCTTGAAGAGAGTATGCCTACAAGGTCTGTTCCATTCTATTTACTACAAATTATCACATCTGAGAAGTCTGAGAAAAAGACATTCAGCTAAACTTGGCTTAACAAAGTCACCTCCTCTCCTCACATTGCCACCAATTGTTGATTCTATCACAATGTCAGCTCGTGAAGGTGAAGCCACCTCCATCTTCCTGCCACTTAGCACTGTTCAATAACCACTTTCAAGCTAGGAAAATGTGAGCAAGAATGCCATAGCAGCAGAATTGACCCAGAGTTGGCCATTTCTTCAAATTATTAATTATTGTTATTATTATTACTGTTGATATTGTGGTGTACAGAGGATACACCACCCTCTGGTGATTCTCAGTTCCTTGAATTTTGTTCTCTACTTCAGAAGGAAAGTAAAAAATAAAAGGAGGGGGTTGTGAGGAAATAAAACCCTCCAGGAGTTGCTGCTCTTCCACTGCACTTTGGCACAAAAACTGTAGAATAAAAGAGAAGCTACTGAACAGAGAATTCCTTTAGTCTGCTTTTAATACCCAATTTATCCACCACTGACTGGCTGGCTATTTTTGTTTCATTTTTTGAGAGAAAAAAACATTAAAATGGCAGTCGTCAGTAATGTTCCACCACAGATTGCCTTAAAAGGTAAAATCATATTTTCCATTCTCAGACATTATTTCTGCATTTGGTTTTGTGTGAACTATCACAGTGTCTATGAATATTTGACCCTTAAAATCTTGTCATTAAAGTCTACCCAGTATGACATGTATTGATGATAGGTTACAAGTAGAATATTTATTTAGCTCAAATGACAGAAACGTGTTGCAGTATGGATTGAAACTAAGCAACAAACCATAAGTTACAGAAGAAACATTTCTAGAAGGATGCAATGGAAAGGAAAGGACATGACAGAGTGGAATTTAACCTTAAAACACAAGTGCCCTCACTTCTACTGGTAGTGCAGCTGGAAAGCTGCCCCAGAGAGGAGCACCTTTGGAAGGGGGAACACGAGGCACTCCTTACCTGCCCTGAAGGTCATGTGTTGGAGCAACATCAGTGCTGAATGACTGAAATACTCTTGTTTGAGGCACTGGGTTTTTATAATAAGTGTAAGGTCTGTTTTGACAAGCAGTTCCATTGCTGAGCTTTGCATCTTGAGAACAGCCATACGCAGTCAGCCAGGCATGATGCTCCAGATATGATCTCTTGTATTGAAAGCCATCAGTCTAATCCCCTCTCACTGCCCGTGTCATCATGGGGTTCATGAGAACACTCCTCACCTTCAGTCAGCTGCTGTACTCCTCCACCACTACTGCTCCCTGTTAAAAGGCAAATTAAAGGCAGGTGAAACTCACTGGTGATTTCTAATTCTGGAAATAGAAGTGTGGAGCCCAGTTTTTAAAAACCATTTAGATTAAACTCAGCAATGACTCGTGTAAAAAAAGAGAACGCTTTAATTTTTAATTCATTAGGATTCCTATGTAAACAAAAAGCAGAGGTGATTGTTAAGTTACATTGTGGACTTACAGTTTTTTGTTTTTTTTGGTTTTTTTTTTCCACAAAAGCTCAACACATCCTTAACGTCAGCACATATGTGCCACCCATTCACCTCTGTGATTAATTGCACGGCTGTAATCTTACCAGAGCAAGCAATGGTGATCTTCCTGCCCCCTTCCTGTCGGCTGGGGTCATCTGGCTGACTGCAGACTGATGACAACAGTAGGTTATTAGGAAGTTGGGGGGTAATCTCCTGTACCAAGACTTTACTGGGCTTAGCTGGTTTGTCTTCTTCTGAATAAGAAGGCTCTGTAAAGAATTCTTTAACAAGGGGTCTCAAGCACTCCTTTTTTTGCTCTTCATGGATCTTACGCACATTTGAAAAAATGGATGTTGCAGCTTCTCCTACTGAGTCCTCAAATGTGTTTTTATTGCTTTCTTCTAATGCAGAATCACCATCATTTGTCGTTTCAGAAATTATTTCAATCTTTGGGTGATACTCTTGCTGGAAAGGTAGAAAATGTAATTGAAAATATTACTATGTTGGATGTAACAGCAAGAATAGGTAAATATCACTTGGTTCCATACATTATTGCTAGTCTTGATGTGTTTTTCTGTCAAAATGTACAGAAGACCTGCTTCATAGCCATTGTTCTGCTTTTTTGCAAACTGATCTTGGGTTAAGTATGTCACACATTAGCCATGAGCTGATCATAAGCTACTAATCATTCCTACAACAAAAGGTAATTGCAGCAATTCAGCAATAGCAATTGCTGAAATCTAGAACTCTTTTCTTTTCCAGTTCACTGTATCAAAGTGAATATGAACATTACATTAAAAAAAACAGAGGATCCTAATTGCATAGATCAGAGTAGCACGGCCCTTTGATTTACCCAAGCTGGTTGATATTGAGTCAACCTTAACACGAATTTCTTTTTATATCAGACTAAATAGAAACAAAAACCCAAAAGTACATACTTCAAGAGCAAGTCACTGACAAGGGCAAGAGGATTAATGGGCTCAGATCTATTATATTACCTTAATCATAACAAGAATTTAACTTTGGCACTTCCAGTGCTCAGGAAATGACCTTAATTAAGAGGCAATGGGAACTCAAGGCTGGATTTCTGCTGAAGAATTTATTCTGAAGTGGAGGGTTTGGGGAGTAAAGCAGCAAGACCAAGACCAAGAGGTCTACATTTCACCACTGTGAGCAATACTTGCATGACTTACTTACACAATGCACTGAACTTTGCTAGGACTTACAGACACTGCCCAAAAGAGGGATCTGACATCTTTAACTAACTGCATTTAAGAACCAAATGCCCTGGGGAGTACGAGAGCTGCCAACACACGCTTTATTAATCCTCTTTGTGCCCTGCTCTATTCCTTCTCTTATCTTCTATTTAACTGGAGGCTTTGTTGGCCAAGACATTTTGCGACACCGGTGCAGCACGTAACCAGAAGAGCAAGAGAAACCCATGCCTTACACAAAATTTTACAAGTCTCTCCAAGCTATTGCAGAACTGCATACTCTATTAGCCTACTTCCAGCACGGCAGATATGAGCCACCAGCAGCACAAGAATCAAAGCTGTGCTTTCAATCTTTGTTGTTTTATTTTGCTTCTTCCTCTTCTGTTTCTGCCTATAGTCTTGCCTACCAGATTAATCTGAGCATGGACCAAGTGGGCTGGCACTGCATTGTGTCTCTCTAGTTTAAAGTGAAGCCAAAGAGTTTTGATCTCTGTATTTTAAGTTGAAAGGTTTGCTTTTATTCAGCAGTAGGCCATCTGGACAACCTACTCAGTCCTCTGCAGCTAATTCGTACTGGTGAAGTATACTTTATGAATAATCTTCATTTAAATACTATATTATAAGAAAGTAATCTTATTTAACTGTCACATTTCTGGACTTTAGTTTTTCATTCTCCAATTTCTACAAGGCAAAACTTAAAAAAAATCAAATTAAAAGAAAATTTACAAGGGGATAAACAAGATCTGCCTAAACATCCATTTTAGTTTATAAATACACAACTGATTGTATCTCCCAAAACAGCATTTCACAACTGAGATTACCTTCCTTTTGCAAAACATTAGCCAGGCAAACTTCATCAGTGGTACAATTAAGGATCTTACCTTTTGAATAACTATTTCCTCTTCTGGAGGAAATTCCTTTACATCTATGTCTTCTAAATCAGGTAGTTCCTGAAGAAAATCACAAAGTCAGTGGGAAAAGTTAGCTCAAATGAATAAATACGACATCTTCATCTCCCTGGGAATATTTTTAATACAGTGCTGTTCCAGGCAAGGAGCTGCAACTAGAAAAACTGGACTGTCATGCTCTCCAAGATGACAGTTTTCTATGTTAAACATGTGGGAAACACAATTCATCTGCTTCCAGAAATAGTAAATGGGAAAGGGATAAACAATACCAAGTGGAATGCTCTTTTCTACTATTCTGACTATGAAAACAAAAAGGAAAAAAAAAGAAAAAAGAAAAAGAGGAAGAAAGATGGATAGACAAGAAGACACTAACACGATTTTAAAAGGAAACGTGGTTTACATCTCTTGGCTGTCTCTTATCTATCAATAGACTTAATCTTAACTGTAATTCATCTTTTTGGTAAAAGCCAAAATAAGATCTTCTGACTTTTTGAAACAATTTCTCAGTAAATTCTGCTAACCTACATACAACTAATAAAACAATGTTTTACTGTGAATGCCATGTAATTAAGGAAATGGAACTGGAAACTTGCTGAGAATTTTTTCCCTCAGACAGGATCAGTTCTTCCAGGTTTCCATTAGAAAACATTTTCTAAATCACATGCTAGTTGCTGACAACGAAAGCAAAAATGGAGGGTAAAATATAAAATGTCAGGTAGAACGTAATGCCTTTCTAGCAATTTCTCACTGCAGTCTAATGCTGGTAAAAGCACCTCCTTTAGTACTATGTTTTAGAGCAGACTGATTTTGTACAGCTATTCACTTGGCACAGCAGCATCAGGATCATCTGATCTGCAGGGTCTTGTATGTGAAGACGTGTACAGAAATAAAACAAAACTTGTTTCCTGATGTGGTTGTGCTGGTGTAGCACGTCCTGAATTCACACCGTTTTAGAATGAAAAATGCATGCATTAGGATTGACTGCTACCTAGGTTGGAGTCAGAAGGGAAATAGCTGTTAGTTAAATGCTGCTGAAGATTATGCATGAAAACCAGTTTGTGCACTTCTGACTTGTTTCTGCTCGACACAGGGACGTCAGATCCAGCGCACTATAAATCTTCCCCTCTTCTCACTTGTTTTACTACTGAGACTGTCCGCGGGCTCCAGTATTTGAATAAAGACTACAGACTTCTTCAGAAATCCTAATTTACGGCATCTTCTCAGCCACCCCCTGCTATGTCAGTGCTAAATGCCTCTGGAAAATCTGCAATAGCGTAAGTATTGGAGGCTGCTGCCAGAAGCTCCTGACGTTAAGTATCAGCTGTAGAACAGCATAGCATAGAACACTGAAATGTGCATTAGTATGAGATTTGTTGATTTTTTTTTTCCCCTTCTGTAGAATTGTAATATTCCTACTTCTTCTGTGGTGAAAGAAACTTCATGTAGGCATGCTGAAGCTTTTCTTTTATACTGTGTTACACAATAGTGCCATACAGCAGCAAGAAAAGAGCTTGTACTTCAGCCCTGCGGGTTCTGCTTATGAAAATCACATTGTATATACTTGAAATTGCTGTCAGTTCTCTCCACTACCCTTGTTAAGTCTATTATCAAAAACACCTGAATAGGAAGATGCAGCAATAAGCCGTTACTGAAACAATGAGTTGAGCTTTACAGTAATAGGATGTTTTTTTTTCCTAGTCATTAAGAGCACAGAAGAGATGTAAGTGACTTTTCTAAAGCATTTCAGTAAGAATTTAGTTAGCAGTGTTGCACAAGAGATATTAACTATTCTGGAAAATCCTAAACTCAACAGTTTGCAGTTGTGTCATAATCTGGCACTGACAGTTTTGCAGTAGGGGTGTAGATAGAGTATACTGAATAATACTCCTTTGCACTCAAATTGTATTTCTCAGTGGTCACACTCATGTCTTCGTGGCCAAATATGACGAAATGCTTAAATGTTTGCATCATCAGATAGAAATCTTAGAAAACAAGAATACATTAGAAATGCTAATCCTTTACTGCCTACATGAAACATGGAAATATGCTTGCAAGTTTTATTTTGAGAACCAATTATAACATCCAATATTACCAGCTAATATTGACAACAACTCGGTGGCTATGTGCTCCTTATGTTTTTCCTATGATTGTTTCCCTTCTCAAATGAATACTTCATTGGAGTTTTCCTTAGAAGGACATATTTGCTCCCTGGATTCTTTCTATTGTGATTTCTATTTTTCACATGGAAATCCTTGCTAACTCTCTCCACAGAAATCTCAGACCTAGAAGTTCAACTTCAGGCTATCTAATAGCCAAAGGACAGAACAGACTTTGGTAACAGTAGTAAATTCTTTCCACTTAATTTTTTTTTTCTCCTACTTTTCCTAGTAGTGGATCTTTCTTGGAAATCTGGCCATATACTTTATCTAGCCAGGATGTCAAAGGAATTAATTTGGAGTAGACAACAAGCAAACCAAAATCTGAAAATAAAACCAGAATCTAATACATACACCAAGTCGAAGTTTCTCTGGTGTCTCACATTTGATCTGCTCAATTTCAGCACACTCAGCCAGTTCAAGAACCACAGCCCTTTCAGTAGCTGTCTTCTCTATTGGAAGATCTAAGAAATAGAGATAGCAAGTTGAAGAGAACTAGCTGAATAAAAGACTTTGTGTGCTGCAACAGTGAGCACTGTAGAAGCAAATAGCCGAATCCAGTGCTTTGTCATAACCTTGGTCCCCTTTACATTTCATAAATATTTGTACTTTTCAATAATGCATTCACATAGTCATGTAAAAAAAGTATTCTGTGTGTGAAGGCACAGAGCTGTCTCTGAGTGAAGCCCAGCTTTTGCTGGAAGAAACACTATACAGACTTGGGGGCAAGGGAAGCCTGTAAGCTCTCCTGTACTGTCATTAAATCTAGCACATATGAGAAGTAGAATTCCAGTTTCATTTATCAGAAGCTGCAGACTGGGCACTCCGAATAGTTTTCTTTGTAATATTAAAATAATATTTTATCCAGAATGACTTGCTTTCCAGCTCATTGCTATGGAAATCTAGTAGAATGTTTTCAGCTACGAATCAGCTGTTTGGAATCACAGGAAAGGAGAGCTACACTGAGTCTGCTGGGCTTATCATCTGTACTTCTCCAGTTTGGTTTGATTCTTCACTCTGTACTTTACCATCTATCTTCCTGTTGAAGTCTGAGCATTTGTAAGAATTTGATTCACATGCAGCCTCAGGAATCTTTCCAGATGGGAAGTCAGTGTTATCTCCTCTGTCTGTTAGGAGCGTTCTCACATCATCATGAGCATCAAAATTTTCATTTCCAAATTTCTCTGTCTTCTCTTGAGGTTCTTGCTGTTCTGACAAATTTGATATCTCTGATGCACTGTAATTTTCTTCGTTACCTGAATTTGCAGATGCTCCTACAGAAGAAATGAGTTCACTAGAACTGCTGAGTTAATCTGTTGTTACTTATTATAAATATTGAAACTGCATATGGTCGTAATAGCATAGCCAAAGATGCACATCAAAAGCTCCTGGTTTGCTTGAGCAGCTATTCACAAATCAGCAGTCCTCCCAGCACTGTGGCACTGCTGTGGGTTTTCCCATCTCAGTTCCCCTGCAACTACAGTTCTCCAGCAAGATCTCAGCTAGAGAGTGCAATACAGTAAATAATTATGCTATATTTGTATTTAAATTTGAGAGGACTCACTACATTCAAAATATATGCTTGCACATTTTGATGATCAGTATCATCTACTTTATGCAATCTATCAGCTTATTGCAAAACTTTTACTTGTTAGTCAGCCATGTCTGACTTCAGCGCCTGTACAATGTCAAAATGTACCTCACAAATACTTCTCTACAGGGTAGTACTCCCTTATCACTTGGCTTCAGTCTTGTTTATCCTGAAACATGCATGATGTCCTTGAAAATGTTAGGCTGTGGATTATCAGTGGTCATAAATTTATTCTATCTTGAATAATGAGAATTAGTGGCATAGAAAAGGGCAGTAAGTGAAACCTTAACTAATTAAAGACCTTCCTCCAATTCCCTGCGTTATCACTGTGGATAGGCTCTAAGTTTAACCAGTTACAGTTAATTAAAGCAGCAGCACAGGGGTACCTGGAAGCAGACTTGTGGTTAATGTGGGGTTGTGCTGGAGCCCCCAGGTGCCAGAATCCAGCTCCATTCTGCCTCCTGGGGAAATACAGCTTTTGGGTTGCTACCTGCCTCCACTCACCAATACTTACTGCAGCTACTGTGGCACTGACTTGCACCTGCTTTCTCTGGTGCAGAGCACAACAGCTGGAAAAGCTGTGACAAACATCTAAAATATGAACCACAAACCTTCTATGATGTCTGTTGCACCTTCATTTCCATGTTTTGCACCTGCATCTCTTTCTTCTATATATTTCTGTGTCTTCTTTTCCAATGCTTTTTGCCTGATTGCAGCTAAAGCATCAATGCTATCTTGGATTTTTTTTCTCTCTCTAGTTTCCCATTTTTCCCTTTCTGCCTTCTCAGCTTCAAGCCCTCCAACAGCCCAGGCTTCTGCACAGGCTCTATGGAAAAGAAAAGAGCTCACTGTAATACAGCCAAAAAGCTCATTGCTCTGACAGAAGAGAAATTTAAAATAGTTTGTAACAGCACCAAGTATTTTCAACAGGGAAAAGGAAGATAGCAATGGCAATCCCTTATGGAGCAGGGCTTCACCTGCATCCTTTCTTGCAAGCTGAATGGCAACAAAAGAAATAATATTATCTAAGCACGAGTGGTTACAACACCAGAGATCCATCAGGAGTTGTGATCATGGCTCTGCTTTCCCAGACACCTGCTCAGTTTCTGTTGAAATTATGACTTGATTCTGCAGTCTGCAGACATTCCTGTAGAACAATTCTGTTCAATACTTATCTTCTTCTTTTTTTTTTTTTTTTAAAGGTATGTAGCTCTCTCTAGTATAATTCTATTGTAATGAAAGGCACTTGCCTGCAGTAAATTAAACCAGTCTTTTCTTTCCATGAAAATATTTATTAAAAAATGGACAAGATCATTTGAGCCTTACTGCTGTGCAAAGAAGATGACTCTGCTTCTTACCTATCCTTTGGGAATACTGGTCTGTCATCCAGATACGTTAGCTGTTTCAGTCGAACAGTAAGTGTTTTTCTATAATTAGTGATTTTCTTAATCACTTGATTTCCCATTAAATTCAGCACATGCTAGAGAAACATGGAAATAATTTTTAAAAGTTGAGCTGCAAACAAACTAACAATCCAACAAACAAAAAGCATACAGCTTGGGTATGCACTACCTCTAACCTGTCAAAAACAAATGGTGAATAACAGTTGCTGTAAGTCATCTACAAAAGGGCTAATAATGTTTAATAACAATTATTTTAGATCAAAACCCATCACATGCTGGACTACTGGACAAAACAGCTTCGTAAGATTCACTCATACGCTTAATCCATACCCTCAGCTGTATTTGGCTTACCAAATTAGGCATTGTCTCCAGAACAGTTACAATATTTGGATCACTTAAGTTGTTGTGGGAAAGATCGAGAACAGAAATACTTGGACATTCTTGCAAGTGTTGTATGTCTTCCACTGTTTCTAACTTATTGTGAGCAATCTGCAGAGTGTTCAGGACTTTTAGACAAGCTGTCAGACAGAAAGAACACAATGAAAGGAGAGAGCCACTGCTTCACAGAAAACTGTCTGGAGCAAGTAGAATTTTCAGCATCACTGTACTGAAACATGGGTAGCTTTTTTCTCAAGTTTGTTGCTCTGCTTATACATATTTTTTGGCTATGCCTCCAAAGCTGCTTCCTTCACCTCAGGAAAAATAGTTACTTGTTTTAATACTGGTTGGTTGTTGTTAATTCATGTTTCAAACTAGTTAGTTACACAAAAACTTCTGTTTTAGATTACTCTTAATGTACATAAAAGAAAATAGTCCTTTAACAGATGTAAAAGATTTGGTATCACATCTGCAACTGCCAAAGCAAATTGTAACTGTAAAGTAAATGGTAAAACACAGATTGACAGCCTGTCTGCAAAACAGAGGAGTACCGAGATGGTATTAAGAAGTGAGGAAATACTAAACATTTCTGGGTCTTTGTATTTAAGTAGTAATTATGTGTTTTCTGTTTCCTCATATACTTAAACTGCAGAACTGTTAAACTAAAATACATAGATTTGATTTGATAGTCACCTCGTGAACTTCAGTATTGGATACTGTGCAACATTTTAATATAAATAATAATAATTTAAAAATGAAACTACTGCCAAATCTTATGACTATGGGCTTCTTGTAACTCAAAACATCCTTCACCAGCAGTTCTTACAGAGATTCTCAATGGTCTTGACATAGTTGTTACTCAGATTGAGGGAATCCAGCTTTTGTAAGGATTCCAGGTTTTCGATTCTGTTAATTAAATTGAGCTGCAAGTAGAGGCAGCGCAACTCTGTCAGAGCCTCCAAATTCTCAATTTTTGTTAAGCCGTTGCATTCCAGCCACAAACACCTCAGCCCAGTGTACTCTTCAAGATTCTCCAAGCGGTCAAATCCTGCAGAAAAAAAACAAAAAAGATGTTTCAAAATGAAACTGCATTGGCTAAAATTAAGTCATTCAAAGCATAAATTCATTAAGCCAGTGCTGCTGAAACCGCCTGTGAGAATACCTGCACTAAAACTGATGGTAAGACTTCTAGCAATTCAATTGGCCCATTAAGGGAGAAAATGTACCTACAAGGTACCTATTCTGGTCTTCATCTTGTGGAGTGCTTAGATTCTTAAATACTGAGAAAACAGTAAACAAAGTCAAATGTTGAAGGTAGGTTTAGCATGTTGTGTTTATTTAAAACCATTCATCATGCTGGATAATCGGAAAAACTGCTCAGAGATCAGAAAAGGGTGACCTGTTCTAGCAACTTATTCTTTCAGTAGTATTTGAGAACATACAGCATGTGTTCACTGTTGTTTTGTCACTGCAGAAGTCCCAAAATTTGGTGCACAACTGTGTTACACAAAGACATTTAAAAATAAAACATATGAATTAGATCAGTATTTTAAGACGTCTTTTCTAAAAAACAGTGCCTCTTGGTTCCTATCAATCTTTTGAATGACTCTACAAAATGAATCAGGCCAATCGCCTAAGGTTCACTTTTCTACCTTCATATTTGCTCGTTTTGTTTCACAATTACATTATTATATCAAATTAAATTATGTTTCTCATTTAAAACGATGTTTAAATACCTACCTCACGTCAGTGAGCCATAAACTAGATTCCCTGCCAGGATACTATTTAGAGTGATACATCCATACAACCTTGTACACAGCTTACCTTTATAATGCAAGTAAAGCGTATCATTTAAGGATGGGGTCAAGTACAACTTGTGCTGCTTACAAATGTCTTGCAGAATCTTTTTTGTCATTCTAAAACAATAATAGGAAGCAGAAGCAAAAAAACTTCAGCACACATTCTATTATTTTTTATAAAACAGATTTCAATGCAAAATAATTAATATTTCTTCTATGCAAGAGAAATAGCTACAGCTTACAAGACGATACTCAGAGTGAAAAAGCTCTACATTTTTTTAGATTTGCTTTCCATTCATACCGGCCTGAAGTGTGTTACCAGGCCCTTCCTACTTCTGCTATAAAAAGAGAATGTAGGTAGGAAGTTAGAGAGCTCATCTTCTTTAAAAAGAGCAGCATGAATTTTTGTTAGACTGGTTATTTCTTCTTCTGCCCTTTCCTCCATTTTTTGCTGCTTTGGTGCAACATCTCTGCTGGCATAGCCAATAAGCAACACCTAGGACCCCGAGTCACCATTTCAGACTAGAAAGTCAATAGTTATCAACCTAACATTTTGATGAAAGGCTGGCAGCCAGTAACATTTTAGCACACCTCTTTAACTGCCAGAGCAGAAAATGGGCAGCATCAGTTAAATGGTAATTACTTAACATTCAGTTCTACTTACGAGAGCATTCATTCAAGTGAGAACCCAGAAAAGGATCCCAAGGGAAGCCTAGGGCTACAGATGTGCAGGGACAGGGATAAACTTGCGGTTGTTGCAGATCCTGCTCTAGAGAGCACTGCACTGATAGTTCCATGGAGGTGGCAGTCCTCCAGCACAAACTTTACAAAGAATAACTGGATGCTGTTTTGGAGGCCAGTCTGCACAGCTAAACACAATTTTAGCACAGGGAATAAAATTGGGAACCCATCAAGAAGACATCTAGTAAAAACACTCTGAAGCTGAAAACACAGATTTCTTCCTGCATAGGAAGATCAGATTCTTTTAAAACAAAATTCCACCTGAAATATAACTTGTAGTAGATATCCTCCACCTAAAGAAATATTGCAATAGCATGATACTATATGATCCAAAATTATTTTCCACTTCCAAGTCCCTTATTAATAGACTGAACTTGGCATTTGTGGTCTTATTTGTAGGACTAGAACTTTTAACAGTAAGACTTCCTTGGCAAGCAAGTATTTTCAAAACAAACAACACCATGAGTAAAGGCAGTGAAGGTGTATCTTTCACCATGAACTCTGAGATTTCTCTGTTAGATGCAGTCACTTACCATGCTGTAAACTTCAATATTGCTGAAGAACAAAGGTCTAATGCAGTAAACTGACTAGTTCTTGGGGCAATACCAAATATGATTGTCAGCCTGTTACTGCTCTACAGGCTGAAATAAACCTCTGGAGGAATGAAGGATTTATAAATGTTGAGCAAAATCTCTAAAACATACTGTTTTCTTGCACTGTGAGCCCAACTATGCTACTATACACAGTGTGCATGCAGTGTATTACTCTGGTTTCCATTGAGCTATTCAGAGCAGCATTTAATCAAATCATCCGCATCCTTAGGCAATTTACAGAACCATAAAATGTGTTCCTTAAGAATGCTAAGTATCATGTGCAGTTGTTGCACTTCTGACATCATTACTCACATTTATTTAATTTATTTTAATTTTAATTTAATTTTGATGGCCTGATTAGCCTGGGATAATGAAGTTACTTATCCAACCTAGTTCCTGGTAACTCGGAGGGCCTCTGTCCCTTCACATACCTCTGCCAGTACTCTGTCAGTCCTGACAGCTGTAATATTTGCATTAAGATGAATTAATACAGTGCGTCCTTTGAATTCATACTGAGAATTGGTCAAATCTGCTCTCACAAGAGTTTGCAGAAATTTTTCCAAATCCACTAAAAACTACATCATACATTTAAAAGGTAGTTTGCTAAATAAAAAGAAGTACATATCAACAATTACTGAGTTATTGATTAATCTCAAGTTCATCTTCAAAATCATTTTCCAGAGTTAAGGTTAACATGTAGAGAGTAAATATGTGACGCTCCTACTGATTTCAGTGATGCCAGGATTTAAATAAAAACCATCAATAAACAATATTTTACCTCACACAGCCCCCTTTTTCTTCTGTCTTTTGACTGAATGAGCTGGTTACTGACTCGTGAACACCAACCAATTTTTGCTCATCCCGTTGATCTGCTCTGGATGTACAGTTGATGGCTTTCTGTTCAGTTTTAACATCTTTGTTGTAAGAAAACAAGTTGCAGTTCAGTATGGGTGGAGGAATACTGTGTCATGTTTCCAGTTAGTTCAGAAAAATACTGAAAAGCACTTGAATATGAATTTCAAGAAAATTTGTGTTCTAACCAAGATTTTTGCAGATCTTTTTAATTAAAATAAGCTTAACTTTCTATAGGAGACAAAATACAACAATAACTAGTAACAAAATAAACTGCTGAAATATTGCATTTGTTTACATATGAAAGTCAGGCAGAACACTTAAGTCTTAGGTATTATTATAATATACAGTGAGAATACGATACTGGCACCAATGTTTTAGGATCTTGGACATCCACTGTATACTACACGTAATTAACAATAATTAGAGCTAAACAAGACTGCTAAAGCCTAATTTACGTGCTAAGACTACTTTAACACCTAAAGATAATGGTGTATCAGTCAACACAAAAACTGTCTGCTCTTCCACAAATTTACCTTTTTGTACTTTTTGGAGGGTGTCTCCAGTGCTATAGTTATTCAAGCTGTCTTTACTCTGCCTCTGCCCAATTGCATTTTCAATAGTTTTCTCTTCAGATTCCTGCTCAGAACCTTCTAGTTTTGCTTCTGATCCTGACTCTTAAGAAAGAAACAAACAGGATGATTGTACACAAGTCACAAATATGACTGTAATTAAAACAATTAGAGGTAAGGCTGGATGTATGACTTCAATACATAAAGTAAGCTTCCAGAAAAAGGAAATTCAAGAAACAAGGAATGGCGGGAGGGGAAGAGCCAGTAAGCCTCAGTTACAGCAAGACCTTCAGCGAATTCAACGTGGGAAAGAACAAACTTAACAACAGACTCTTATATGCTCAACAACAGTTTTTTTTCCCAGCTGCGTGGACTCAGCTCAATCACTGCTGCCCTGCGCCTCCCAGCAGTGCAGCTGCCAGAGCTCACCCCTGCTGACAGGACAGCCTTCACTCAGTGCGTGGGCAGCTTCATTTCCAGTGTTGCTCAGCGTCTCTCTCAACACCTCTGGCGCAATGACCGCTCCTGCGTGGCCTCTCTCCAAGTCTCTGCTGCGTGACAGCATTCTGAGATACGAGATTTAGACAAGCCGTGTCACGTCGCCGCGCGGCTCACAGCGCTACTGCCAGACGCTACGTCCAAAAGCTTTGGCAGGACCCGTCAGAGGCAGAGGAGACCGGAACGAGCAGATTACGGAGCGTGCGGCTGCTCAGCGGGCAGCACCGTACCGGCGCGGCTCAGACCCCCTCAGCACAAAGCAGCACAAAGGCTGACCGAGGCGCTGTTCTCCTCAGCGCCGGCCTGCAGCCCCGGAACGGCCCTCCATTACCTGCCCCCGCAGCTCAGCTCGTGCTGGCAGCAGGGACGCGGGCCGGATGCCCAAGGCCAGCAGCCCGTCCGGGCCCGGCGGTCAGCAGAAGCCGTAGGCCGAGCGGGAAGGAAGGAACGGGGAGCCAAGCGCACTCCCGCTTCCCGCGCCAACGGCCGCCGCTTCCTTGGCAACGCCGTGCGCGCCCATAAGGCCCCGCGGCGGCCGGCGGCGCTCTGGTGACGGCGGCGCAGCGTCGGGGCGCGGGATCGCTGTGCTGCGACGCGGTAGGGCCGGGGCCGGGCGGGCCGTGAGGTCAGGGCTGGAGCAGCGCGCCAGGGCCGCTGTGCTGCGCGGGGAGAAGGGGCGAGCGGTGGGCCGGGACTAAAAAACATGACATTTCCACGATTTCTTACAGTCATCGAGGAGATCATCCAGTTCCAGCCCCCTGCCCTGGGCTGGGTGTCAACCCCCTGCTCAGGCTGCCCGGGGCCCCATACGTGGCCTTGGGCACCTCCAGGAATGAGGCACCCGCAGCTTCACTGGGCAGCAGTGCCGGGGTCTCCCTGCTCTCTTAGTGAAGAATTTCTTCCTCGCATCTAAGCTAAATCTCCTGTCTTTTAGTTTAAAGCCATTCCCCTTTGTCCTACTGCTGTCTGCCCATACAGAAAGTTATGTGCTTATAAGGTCCCTTCAAGTTCTAGAGTACTGCAGCGAAGTCTCACCAAAGCTTTCTCCTCTCCAGGCTGATCAAGCCTGTTACCCTCAATTTATCTTCACAGGAGAGATGCTCCAGCCTTCTGATTATCTCCATGATCTTCTCTGGACCTGCTCCAACTGCTCCATATCTCTCCTGTACTGGAGTTCCCAGGCATGGGTGTAGTAGTCCAGATGAGACTTCATGAGAGCAGAGTAAAGGGGACAATCCCCTCCCTCACCCTGCTGTCACCCCTCTGTCGCTGCAGTCCAGGATACCATTGGCTTTTCAGACTACAAGCACACACTGCTGGCTCATGTCCTACTTTTTGTGTACCAGGATCCCTGCATCCTTTTCAGCAGGGCTGTTCTCAATTATTTCTTCTTAGGTAGACGTACCTGGCATTGCCCTGGCCATAATGCAACACCTTGCAATTGTCCTTGTTGAACGTCATTAGGTTCTTGTGTGCCCCCTTCCTGTGCCTGCCCAAGCTCTCTGGACAACATTGCTTCCTTCTATGGTGTCAGCTGTACCACTCAATGTCATCAGCAACTTGATAGAATCAAATTGATCTTACTCTGTATTTTGATATGTGTTGCTCATGTTCTTCATGGAAGCTTTGCCATATTTTCACATCTAGAGGATTTAATGTGCTTTTCTAATGATAAAGGGATCATGTGTTTTTGTTGTTGTTTTTTTCTTCTAGAAAGTACTGCTGACTGATTCCTGAAATTTCCCCGCTGCTGTTATTTTTAGTGTTGCATCATCGTTGATAGGAATGCTGTGAAAACTATTTTCTAGTTCCTACACCCTGGTGTAGGACAGTTGGAATTGCTAAATCTCAGAGGTTTGAAAAGGTTGAAGAGAAGATGATAATTGCCTGTGTCTTTTTCCTTTTAAGACTTCTGATCACCATGGCTGCAGTGGATCGCTTCAACCTGCTGTACAGAGAGATCAGTCGTTCCTGCAGTTTTTACGTTGAGGCCCTGGCTGTAGTTGGAGCTTGGTACACAGTCAGAAAATGTCTGACTCTTGTGTTTGACACTTACAGTATGCTCAGGCTTCATGTTATTCCAAAGCTGGTTGGTGAGATTGATATTGTCAAGCGGTATGGAAGATGGGCAGTGGTCACTGGTAAGAGACTGAAGCAGTATATTTGTGTATGTTCATATGATTTGCTAGATGAACTCAGAATTTAGGGACTGTATTAAGTCAGGTCACAGCTGCAAGGTGAAAACAAGTTAATTTTCCTGAGTAGTGATGATTGTTGAGCACCTTAGTAAATTCAGTTCCACCGGTGAACTCTGTGTGTTGACTGGGGAAGAATCCCAGACCAACTTTTCCCAGAAATTGCAGGGTGTCTCTCAAGCATATATGAGGACACATGAGGATCTGTAAGTAACCATGGAGCTGGTAGGCAGGCCTGGTTGACAGAGGTGCAACCGACGTACTGTTTTTGCTTTGAGAGTTTCACATGCTCCCTTGCTCAATTTATCAGTTTAAGTCCCACACCTGACATCCTCTCCTTTTATTTAGCTTTTTGCTGTTGTCATAGACAGTATGAAACCTGTCTTGATGTGGGATTATAGAAGGTTGCTGCTGACAAGATTATCTTTGCTGGTCTCAAACCACAACACCATTATTGGTACCATGTAATCTTCAGAGAAGGGAATAAAGCTATAAAAGCACTGTTGTAATTGAAGACTGGACTGGTTCTGACTTTCACCCTGATACTTTTTTGTCTATTAATTACAGGTAGCACAGATGGTATCGGGAAGGCATATGCTGAAGAACTGGCCAAACGTGGTGTCAATATCATCTTAATCAGCCGAAGCAAAGAGAAGCTGGAGGCTGTATCTAGAAACATATCTGAAACCTATAAAGTGGAAACAGATTTCATAGTAGCTGACTTCAGTAAGGGGCGTGAGGCTTACCATGCCATTAAGGAGGGCCTGAAAGATAGAGAAATTGGGATTTTGGTGAATAATGTGGGACTGTTTTATACCTACCCAGATTATTTTACTAACCTGTCTGAGGATATGCTGTGGGACATGATCAACATAAATATTGCTTCTGCTAACATGATGGTGCATATCGTGTTGCCGGGCATGGTAGAGAAGAAGAAAGGTGCAATTGTGAATGTCTCATCTGCTTCCTGTTGTCAGCCAACACCAATGCTAACGATCTATGGAGCCTCTAAAGTAAGTTGGGCTGTGATGTTTTAATAATGTGCACTCAAGAGTAAAAGCGTTATAGGTTGTGGGGTTTTTTTTTTTTTTTTTTTTTTTTTTTGCATATCATGTGTTACGCTGCAAACTTTTCCTTACCAGTAATGGACTTCAAGCCTAAGTCAGCTATGTGAATTATGTGTGGACGGCTGTAGCTCAACTATACAGAGATATCTCAGTGTACTTATGTACTTGCAGACTGATTATTTGGTAGCAAGAGGGATTATATTCATGCACAAGTTACCGCTACAATGAGAGCTGTGGCAAAACAAACAAAAAACCCCACACCACAGTGCTTCAGCTAATACTAAGTAGCTAGGTGGAGCAGGCAGCTTCTTACAGTGCTGTCTGTACAATATCTGGGGAGAAATGAAAAAGAACCCACAGACAATTATTCTTCCTCAGGAAAGCCAGTCAGTAGTGAATAGGATGGGACAGGGAGGTGATGCTCAATATATGAATGTGCATGAGGATGCAGACTTTGGCAGCATAATTTGCCACTTAATCCACAGAAGCAGGGGAAATAGTGGAAGGATCTCTTGCAGCTCCAGCTGTATCAACGCAGCGGTTATTGCTTTGGGCAGATGGTTGCTGCCCTCTGCTGGAACCCAACCCTCAAACGGCCTCATTCCAAGATACCTGTTGGGTGAATGTAGATGGTTTTACTCCAGGCAGAAAAAGTACTTGCTACGTATGACTTCTTGCAGATTTTCTTCAGCATGGAATCTATCTTAAGATTCCTATCTCTCTGTTGCAGAGCATCTGTGCCTTGGTTATGCTAACTGTATGTAGACCTGAGCCATATCAATGAATGGAAAAGAGCAAAAACCAGAAGACTACTAAAAATTCTTACTTTATCTAGATCTAAGATCAGGTTTCAAGCATGGTCTATGAACTGTTACTTAAGCACTGAAAAGGGTACAAGCTGCTCTAGCTTCCTAAAGTTCCTTGTGCATGAACAGCCTAGAGTGTTTGTAGTGGTTGATTTCCTTGCTTTTGGTTTTGGTTGTTTTCACAAAGTAGGTGTAAGAGCATTTGTGGATGACGTTTTTCCAACAGTGGGTTGGAAACTGTGTTTTTGGAAGGCCATTTGGGAGCAGAAACCCTTTCACTCACCAATTGTTCTCTCTGAGAAATGGCCATGCAGGACAGTCCTATCTTCAGCATGGCATCAGTGTTGTTCTCCTGATGAGACTGAGCCAAGCTAATTTCTCATTCTGATTCAAAGATATTAGGCTAGTGCTTTCTTCATGTTTCAAGTATGCTACAGCTTTTCTGTAGTTTTAATAAAAATCTGCTTTGGGACTTCATTGTAAAAACAAAACTGAATATCTTTTTCTGCTTCTGTTTTTCTAGGCCTACTTGGACTATTTCAGTAGAGCATTGTATTATGAATATGCTTCAAAAGGAATTTTTGTTCAGAGTTTAACGCCATTTGTAATTGCTACAAAAATGGTGTCGTGCAGCAGCGTTACATCGAAGAGATCTTTCTTTTTTCCTTCTGCTGAAGAGTATGCAAGTCATGCTATTTCTACCCTTGGGTTATCCAAAAGGACTCCTGGTTACTGGAAGCATTCAATAGAGGTAAAGGAATTCATCAAATTACTTAATGTTTGTCAGGAAAAAGAAAAAAACAACAAAAAAACAACTTTCATTCCTTAGGAGCCTGAATGAAACTATGTCAGCGTTCTGGAAAACTACAGCATATACCATAGGATCTAAAGGCATTGTGCAGTGTTATCTCACTCTTTCCATTTAAAAGAACACACATGTTTTTAGAATTGTAATACAATTGGGAATTGGATCCAGTACAAACAAGAGTAGCTTCTTGCTCAGTCTTAATTTATGGGCTGTACTTCTACTTTGGGTAGGCAAGGAAGATGGAATAATGCAGGAAAAAGTGCACATTCTTAACCAAAGCTACATGGATGCAGGTTCTCTGTATGACTTTGACTTTTGGGGAAGATGGTGGGCTCTTACATCACCTTATGACATTACCTTGTTGATTGAGCCAGAAGGCATTGAAGTGTGGATTATTCCAAAGTAAAGACAAGAAACAGGAAGGATTCTGGCAAGATTTCTGAACTAAGGAAAGTAGGCAGTATTGCTGTTGAACAAAGTGCTTCATTATTTATTTGCAGAACCTCACTACCGTGCAAGCTGCACACACCTAAGTGTGTGAACACACTCTTTCCAAAATAGCTAAATAACTTTACATTCAACTACTTAAAAGTGTTAGTTGCTTGTGTTCAAATAAGTTTTGTACTTTAGTGGTAGATTGAGAAACTGTTTATTTAATGGAATATATCTTAATCTTCTTGTTCCTTTCTTCTTTCTCTCTTCCCTTGTCACCCTTGCTTCTCCACAGTTCACACTGGGTGAACGTCTACCTGAATGGATCTGGGCATGGTTTGCACAGTACTTCTGCAGAATTATACGCAAGGAAGCTTTAACACACAAAGCAAAATAGGAATATCCAGATGTCCATTATAAATAATGATCAGAATGCTACAAAATGGTCAAGTGAATCCTAGATTTACTGCAATTTATCCATAACTTGCTTAACAGTGTAACTAGTGTTACTCGTAGCAATAACCTAGACATTAGAAGTCTGGATCCCGCATCGTTGTGCTAAGCAGCTCCTTCTCTGCATTCCTCCAGGACGAAGAGTTGATCTCAGTTCACTTTGTCTGTAAGGTAATAGGACAGGAGCAGATATAACTTTAATTCTGATAGTAAATGACTCTCTTTTGTGTAGTGCTATGTAATCTTGATTTGTAATGTTAACAGAATTTGAGAATTCTCCAGCTCTGGTGATATTGGGCCCAAAATAAATCATGCTGTTTTGAAAAGACAGTCCTATTCAATCAATATGCAGTTTATGAGTCTTCTGGTCTTTTTATGGCAGGTCCTTGTATGTTTTAAGTGCAAATATTGTTTTTGAACAGGGTACTTACCATACATCTTAATTTTGATAAAGTCATACTAATTTGGAGGTTGTTTAAATGACAGAAAAGGTCTTACAGAACTGCAGAAGAATTTGAAGATAACGTTTTTTTTTCTTTCTTATTCTAAGTGTGAATGCTTTTGACCACGCTTTAAATATTCCTTCAGCAATCTGAAGCGTGACTGAAGAATTGAAACAGATTGTAAAAAATACATTAGCTAAGAAAAAGTAAAGAAGAAAGAGTGTTCTAAGAACAAAAGTTAGTTGCATATGACAATTTAAAAAAAGTTACTGATGTCTTGATTCTGTATGGCTGTTTTTATTTATATTAAAAAATGTGTATATATATTTACTAGATGTCGTCTGGTATCGCACTGCTTGTATTTCTTGTAGAGACTAAATTTCACAGCTGTCCTTTCTTTAAACATATTTGTTGCCTGGAACAAGATGTATCTTAAGATTCAGAACATTCGTTCTGTATTTGATATCATCATTAGTAGTGCTTCTATAATGTTACACTGAAATATCAAAATGATGAAAATAACTGTGCAGCATTTTATACACAGCACTATGTCTTTAGGATAGAGCTCCTCTCAGGCTGTTGCCCATTTAAACAGATTCATTTCCTCTTAATAAATTTTTCAGAAAACAGTTTTTGGCTGCCTTTGCAGCCCAGCTGTGAAGAAAGCTTGCTCTAGGGGTGGTGACCACTGATGAAATGTACCACCCACCCCTCACTGTGCTACTTCCACTGTGCGGTTGCCATAAACACTCAACAAACATCAGTGAATGTTAGTGCCATTTTTTTTTTCACATGGAGGAATTCAGTCGCATCCCTACGCCTCATCTGCACTTCCATGTCATGCACCATTCTGTCAGACTGCCCTTCTGCTGCCATATGTCATGTGGCAACAACATGTAATGGGATATTGGTGGGAAGATTTGACTTCCATTGCCATACCATCAGCATCTGCCTCTGATGTTATGGGACAGATAGCATTACTTTTGGAGCAGCTCTGATTGTGTTCAGGCAAATAGCGTGGAGTAGGCAGCCCACGTCTGCGCCTGAACTCCAGCAGCACTGCCTGGATGCTGGGCTCAGCGCACTGCAGGCGAACCTGCAAGCCAACCTGGGAAGACAAATAAGCTGCTCTACTGAGGCTCAGATCTTCTGATCCTTGAGTGGGATGAACTCATTTCTGATCATTTCAGTCTGTATGGCACTACTGGGGGCACACCTCAGTGCTGTGCTGAGCGCTGGGCCCCTGGGTGCAGGAAAGATGTGGAGGTCCTGGAGTGTGCCCAGGGAAGGGAGCGGAGCTGTGAGGGGTCTGAGCACAGCGCTGTGGGAGCGGCTGAGGGAACGGGGTGGGTCAGCGTGGAGAAGAGGAGCTCAGGGCAGAGCTCTGCAGCCCTGACAGGAGGCTGTGGGAGGGGATATCAGCCTCTGCTCCCAGGTAACGGCGACAGGGCGAGAGGTGGTGGCCTCACCAGGGGAGGGTCAGGTTGGATATTAGGAACAATTCCTTCTCCACAAGAGTGATGCAGTGGCACAGCTGCCCAGGGAGTGGAGGAGTCCCAGAGCCGTGGGGATGTGGCACTGAGAGACAGCTGGGGTTGGACCTGGGGATGTGAGAGGTTTTTGCCAATCTTAATGGTTCTGTGATTCTTTACCACTTGTTCGTAGTGCATTCTTGCAGCCAAGCACTCCACTTTTTGGGGGAAGCAGGGAGTCGGGCTGACAGGGAAGTGGGCTCAGGCCACGTCTGCTTGTGCTGCCCGCAACTGACCACAGTCTCAGCTGTTTGTTTCAACTTACGGTGTTAGCAGCGCGTAGTACATCTGCAATTACGTACATGTACTTGAAAATGGGACATAAGGAGGGCCGAGTGAAAAATTCCTTATTTTTTTTTAATCTAAGACTTAAATGGCGTTATGAAGCTATTGCTGTATTCCTAGTGGGGCTTGTTTGTCACTCCCACCCACCAACAACATACCCTAACATTCCCTCACAGGCATTAAACCCTATTCAGTCATGTCCTCAAACATGATAACAAACAATTCTTTGATTTTATAATTATTTTCAGTACGCAGAAGAACACAACCTTCCGTTAGTCGGTAAAACGCACCGCCAGCACACAACCCTACACCCCACACCCACCGGCGCACTGCGCAAGCGCCCGCCCCTCACGCAGCGCCGGGACTCTCGCGAGAGCGCTGAGGTAAACATTGCACAAAATGGCGGCGGCGGGCCCGGGGGCGGCTGCGGCACGGTGAGCGCGGCGGGCTGGAGAGCGGGTGGGACGGCGGCCCCGGCGCTGCTTCGTGCCCGGTGAGGCGATTACAGCCCCGGTCGCGGTAGGGACTTGTGGTATGGCATTGCGACCTGCGGGAGTGCTGGGCAGTGCATCGGGCTGTGGGGCAGCCCGGGCAGAATGGTTCTTCTTCCTTTATCTTCTCACGGTCTTTCCACTGTATGTTGCTGGTTCAGGATTGCATCGCAGTGTTTCTTGAATTCCACCTTGGAACAGGACAGGAAGAGGCTGCTCCTCCACGTGAAAAACATTTTCCACATTGTTTTTTAATTTCTTACTGTTACGCAAACCCAGCCCGTTTTCTCAGGTGCCCTATTGTGTTAGCCATGGTCCTGCTCAGGAAAGCCTGAAAGCCTCCTTTAGTAACAATAATCTCTTTCAAGCCTAGGAACTAAAAATTTGCTTGCAGTGATGGTATTTCTTGTCCTTGCTAGCTGCAGGAATAGACGTTCAGCCTGCTGCTCTTTGTGTCAAATTACATGCCAGAGCATTATCTACAGAGTCTGTGTTCCTGAGTAGAGACAACCCACCACCACACTTCCTGAAGCACCCATGGACAGTTTCTATCATGCTTCATTTTGGTTTTATTTTTTCCTTGTGTGTGCCTTGCATGTCAGTCGTTTTTATTCCGCTTTTGTGAAGGGGAATAGAGTTCAGTTGTCCCTGTTATCTGCTCTACTGCCAAGTTAATACTTGAGTATCTCAGAGATACCTGGTATGAACCAGGAAGAGACTCAAGTGTTCTTGAAAAGTTACTAAATGAAACTGTTTCTTTATTATTTCTAAGGCTAACTGCTGAAGGAATCTGCCTTTTGGGCTTTTTCAGGCTCTGCATTTTACATAAATGTGGATCTAACTATTTGCTATGTTGCCTTGCAGGTCAGCTTGTAAACCACTTAGCTAATTCTTCTAGGGAGTTAACTTTGCTCTCTGAAATGGAGTACAGGACTCAGCTACCATATTGTGAGTGACCGAATCATTTAATACAAAATGGAGAAGAAACGTAGAAAGAAATGAGCCTGTTTATTAGGCTTTACCTCAAAAGACAATGAAATCTGTACTTGCTTCGGACACAGATTTAAGAATATCCAGTTGAACGGCACAGTGAAATCAACGTTTTCTGAAACAAAAATGAACTAGTTTATAAAGAAGAAGAGAGTGAATTGAATATATGGAATTCTTGGAATGAAACCATTTTCTTCTATGACCATGAAGTTTGCAAACATCTGGTTTGTTCTGGTTGTTATTTTACTCTGTGGCAAAAAACACTTCAGTACCAGACTAGGGAATTCCTCTCATGAGGCTCAAATATGTCCTGGATGTTCTCGCCTGACTTTGAAAGTGGAGTTCTCTTCGACAGTCGTGGAGCATGGTAATAGAGTTGAGCAGTTAAAAATAAATAAATCCATGTTATGCTGAAGTTAGTGTTAATGAATCGTGGCATTTGTGCAATGGTAATATTGAGAGGCATGGGTGGAACATCTAAATTATCTGCATTCAGACTGAGAAAGAATTTTATGAAGGTTCGTGGTTTAACTGGGCACAGAATATGAAGAACAAGGAAAAGGAAGAGAGGGGGTTAGTAAGGAGTATGTTAAAAGTGGAAGTAGAACGTGGAGGTTCAGGTGAGCCAGCATGGTCACTTAGCTGTGGTTTCGTAGCTTTTTGTTTTACAGACTCAGTGGAATGAGAAAGACAAGGGGAAGTATGTGTGGTTTTGGGCTTTTTTCTGTGAAAAATGTTTGAAAGCAGTAATACGTTTGTGGAAAAGTAGCAAAGTGCAGAGAGAGCAAATGAAAGGCAAGCTGAGGCTGGTATCAATCCTGAGAGGACAAAGGATAACTGTAGAGAGGAGCAAATAAAATAGGTGCTGAATTTCAATTCAGCATATTCATATGGTCTGCAATGCTGAACAGAATGTCAAAGGAGGACAGATGCCATTGTATAGAGTGCAATCTGTGTTGGTGTGGCAGCTGTGTACGTGTAGAACTGTGGGATAAATGTAATGTAGGTGTCCTGTATGAATGGCTAAGCATTGTGGAAGAAGGATGAACAATCAGCACTTAACATCTGTGGTTCTTATAGAATGCACAGATGCCATTTTTGACAACGTCTCTGCTGTGTTTGAACCTGTAGTTTCACGTAACAAACAAATTTTACTCTATCAGAAGTCAGTGTCTAAACTGTCTTCAGTTTGTCATGGTCATAGATAATAGATCTGTTCCCGTAGTGGAGCTGTGTGTGTGCCTGAGCATTCACACGCAATGTTGGTAATGGCATGTTGTCCATTAGCTAACAGAGGGCTTGTTGAGGTGATTGTGGCACTGCATGATGGGTCTGTGTTCCACCCACAAGTTACCCGGATCGAGGGACTCTTGGGACCAGCGTTGTCCTCTGTGCATGTCAAAGCTGGTGTCAGTAATTTCCCTAAAACTCAATATGTCGTTCCCTCTCCTGTGTTCACCCCGCTCACTTTTCCATGCTATCAAAATTCTGCCTTCATTTTGGGGACCTTTATCATATTTTAAGTGCTTCATCATGCACAAATTTTACGTAGTACAGAAATAGATATCAGACCTGTAAAGCAAAAAACAAAAAAGTGCCTCAAATTGTGCCTATTTGTTTTGAATAAAGAGAAAGAAATATTCAGTAACTAGAGTGCATGACTAGGCTGCTTTGAACATTGGTTCTGATAAACTGTACTCTTGTTCCAGAGTATATTGTGGCTTTTAATGGATACTTCACAGCTAAAGCTAGAAGTAAGTTTATTTCAAGTGCACTAAAAAGCAGTGATATTGAGAACTGGAGGATTGTACCTCGCAACAACCCAGCCAGCGACTATCCGAGTGATTTTGAGGTGATTCAGATCAATGAGAAACAGAAGGATGGCGTGCTGACACTGGAAGATCATCCAAACATCAAGCGAGTGACTCCTCAGCGGAAGGTGTTCCGATCGCTCAAATATTCAGACTGTAAGTAATTTTTATGAGTTTGCATGAGATCTGCTTTGGAGAGTTAAATTCTAGCTTAGCATTACACAAA